CTGTTGTTCAGCATCTTAGCTGTAGAGGGCAGTGTCACTGGCCCTCACATGTGGGATCCGAACCGGGGCCCTCTGGCATCCCAAGCGAGTTCTTAACCGTCGCGCCACTCGGCCGGCCCTAATGCGTTTTTCTTTTCGTGGTGAGTGTTGGTAGGTGTGGTTGACAATCGTGCTTTTCATTTCTAGGAATTCTTACTGTTTCTTGGACTCCTTTTTCTTAGTACCCTGCTCTGTTCATTGACGTTTATCCTCTTGAATCCCCCTGAGGGTGGGATAAAGATTGTTTTTCATATTTCTCTTCTATTTCTGCCACTTAGTCTGTTTCACAGGAGTCATTGATCAGATAACTGTTGTTTCTAGTCATTGTTTCATTATTCCAGTCGCTGTTTGGAGCAGATCAGTCATTTCATACACCCAGCACTTTGGGGGACTGCTGTTTTTCATAAATGAAGGTCTTAGTTTTGAACCCTGGCCATGTATTAGAATCACCTAGGGTATTTATGAAAACTACGAATGCCCAGGCCCCTTCCCAGGCCAGTTAAATAAGAATTTCTGGCAATGGGGTATTGGGGTTTTTTTGTTTGTTTGTTTGTTTGTTTGTTTGTTTGTTTGTTTGTTTGTTTAATCTCTCCAGGTGTGCAGCGCTGGTCTAGGTGGACTATATGAATAGCTGGTGAGGGCTTCCTCAGCAATTGTGTGGGTCACTGGTTCTTGAAACACAGGGCACATCAGAATCACCTAGGATGCTCATTAAAAATACAGGTGCCCTAGGGTGGTTCTGGCTATCTGTATTTTCATCAAGCATTCTAGGCAATTCTGAGACACAGCACAGTTTGAGAATTTCTGGTGTGGCTCATAGAGTTCCCTTCAGCAGGCTCTCCTCTGAGCAGTTAATGTGGTTGTAGGGCTTCACCTGAGTGTATTAATGGGAGGGCACAGGTAAATCAGCGAGGCTCCCCCCGGGTCCTGGGTATGTGGCCCAAGAACAGACTGAAAGACTGGGTCCTCTCTGAGTGGGACTGGTGGCTATGGGATCCATGGGTGGTAGAGTCCCCACCTTCTCCCTTAATGACATCACTGCAGCCAGGTGCTCTCCTTTCAGGCCCTGATAGGGTTTCTGAAGTTCTTCAGTTTCCTCTCCATGGTGCTCCCCAGTAAGTCCACTCTTCTTTCTTCTGCTGAAGGATCTTAGGGGAACCTAGTTAGATCTGCAGAAGCCAATAAGAAGAAGGAAAAAGCTGGAGTGTCTTTATAAGTCTCCCTGCTTTACCGAACTGTTTCCCCCTCCATATTTGCTCTTCCTCCCCTGGGTTACAGAGACACTGCCTTCTGGTTTTGTTGCCCAGTTTAGAAGTTGGTAAGAAACAACCCCCCTCTCCATACCTTTGCTTAGGCGATTCTCTGCCATATGGAGACCGTGTTCCTCATTTCTGAGTTTCTTCCTTATGCCCCTATCCAATGCCGACCCCAAGCTCCTCTACTTCCAGTCCTGCTGTGAGGAGCTTGGGGATCCCACAGGCTTCTGCTGGGGACACCCAGCTACTTTCTTCTCAGATGAACCCACTGAAGTCACAGGCGGTTCTCAATCAGTTGTCATCAATTCAGTTCATCTTCCCAAAATTTCTCTAAGTTTGTCATCTGCTGATAGGAGATTTCTTTGCCTCTACATACTATGTTGTTTTGGAATGTTTATTATTATTATTATTTATTATTATTGTTGTTGTTATTGTTATTATTCACTGAACTCCAGACACTTGTCTGTTCCCTATTCCTGGATCACTTCCCCAGATCCTCACATGACTGGCTTCTCTCTTCATTCAAGTCTCACCTGGCATTGACGTCCCTTCCGCAGAAAGGCCTTCTGTGGCCATTCCATCTAGAGTGGCCACCCCACCCACCAGTCATTCTATATCACATCCTCCCCCCTCCATGGTTCTCTTTCCAAACAGGACTTAAAATTATTTTAGCACCTAGACCCATGTCTGGCATAGAGTAGGCATTCAAAAAGTATTGGTTAGATGGAGGATACATGGAGAAATGACTGTTTCTTTAGTCAATTTATTGGTATTTGGGAAAGGAGGAGAGCTAAGTACATGAACTTAATTCACCACGATGACACTGGGATTTCTTCCTTTCTTGAAATTTAACGAAGAAGCATGTGATACTTTGGGGAAATGGTGGTCACATGACCTGTTGGTTTATTCCAACCTATCAGCACTTTGTCCTCAAGAGGTGCTGCCTGCCCCCACAACCAGTGCTCTGGCTCTGCTCTTATTGTTCGGGCTTCTACTCTCATTATAATGCCTAACTTAACATCTACAGCATTCTGTCCACCTTTAAGCAGAATCAAGTTATTTAGATACAAGTAAAAATGAAGAGATGCTGTGAGTGTCCACTGCTTCTCCCAGTTGGACATTCTCACCCACTCAGATGCTGGCAGTGGTTAGGAGCCTGTCTTTGGAGAAGCACAGAGTCTGGGAACAGTGCCAACATCCCACTTTAGCCTAGAGATGGTTCAAGTCCATGAAACAAAGACTGGAGATGACCAGTAAAATACGTCCTTTTTTTTCTCAGTTCCAGTTAAATTCAGCCAATATATATTGAGAACCTACTATATGCTGTGCTCTGGGTTGGGCGATCAGCTGAAATGAAAGATGGACTCCTTTGGAGGGCCACCTATTTTTGCTATGTGTTGGCTTGGGGTGCCCAGCGAGAGTCATGAATTTGGTGAGATCAATGGGCATGGAAAACAGATAAGAGTTAGAAAAAGACATCCATCTAGTGATTAGAAAATGCTGTCAGGATAAGGACACATCACCCACATCACTGTACACATTTTCTTGTCGATTTCCTCTTAGTGTTGAACTTGCTATGTGAAAAGCACTATGGTGAATACAAAGGTGCATGAGACCTGGTCTCTGCCCTCAAAGAGCTCACATTACAGCTGGAGAGACAATGACATAAACCCTTAAAAAGCTAAATGATGATGCAAAACTATAATTTAAAAAACATGTCATAAGGGAGCATTTCTACACAATGGATGGAAACGAAAGGGGCTGTGTGTCCCATGGATTATTTGTTTGAGTTGGACCAAGGGAAAGTTATTGTACCTGTCACCTGGGGATGACTGTCCTGAGGTATTTTAATTTTCAGAATTGTTTTATAACTACAGAGACCACGCAGTGATAGCGACATCTTTAAATCTGATCTTGAACCATAAAGGGGATGATGTTTGGAAATACCCATGTAGGAAACACACATACAGAGAAGTCGTATCTAAGACGCTTTTCATAGAATAAGTCCCCAGGGCCAAATGTACCAGAAAAAAAGGCGGAGCATCCAGGTGTAGAAATAGGATTGACTGTGGATAATGGATATTTGAGGAACCCCAGACGTTCTGGGTTAAATAGTGCTACCCAAAAACTCATGTCCTTTGCAGAACCTCAGAATGTGACTTTCTTTGGAAATAGGGTGGCCACTGTAGATTGAGTGGTCACCGAGGCCTTTCTGAAAAGGGACACCAATGCCGAGTGAGAATTGAGGGCTGTTGTAGTTAAGACGAGGTCGTACTGGAGTAGGGTGGGCTCCTAATCCAGTATGATCGGTGTCTTTATAAGAAGAGAAAACAGAGACATAGACACAGGGAGAACACCATGTGACAATGGAGGCAGGGACTGGAGTGATGTGTATGCAAGCCAAGAGATGCCATGCATTGCTGGCAATACCAGGAGCTAAGAAGAAAGACATGGAACAGATCCTCCCCTAGAGCATTCAGAGAGAACACGGCCCTGCCCACACCTTGATTTCAGACTTCTATCCTCCAGAACTGTGAGGTAATAAATTTCCACTATTTTCAGCCAGCCAATCTGTTGGTACTTTGTTACGGTAACCCTAGGAAACTATCACGGCAGGGTACCCTGTCTCTTCAGACCTCCTTGTTTCTGAAGGCTGACCTTGCAGCTTTCTGGATGTTGTGCCCTCTGTCCTAGGTCTCTGTCTGCCTTTAGCACAACACTCAGGCTTTCAGGCCCACCCCCAAAATGGCCCTTCTCTCACCCCTGCACCACCCATAAACCTGGTAGAGTGAATGTGGACTCACAGCTTGGGTACCAGAAAGTGGTGACACTGGTAGCAAGTGTACATCCATGAGGCAATCACTACAAAGACTGAGAGGCTTTCCACACCTGCCTCTCCGGGCACAGTCTTTGATAAGGGTGCAGCTTCCACCAGCACCATCCTGCAGAACCCTGCAACCTTGGCTGGCAAAGAGCCCATGGTTGAGTCCATCCCAGGTCACAGCGTGACCCTGCCAGAAAGAGACGTTATCCTGCAGCTCTCTGGGGCTGAAAGGTGCTGCTAGCCTCAACCCAAAGGGGATTTCTTTATAAACTGTACTTTTTATCTCCTGGAAATCTATTGAGTGTGATTGGTTCTGGGCCTTGAGTTTGAGAGAATCCAGGATCTAGCCTCCTGGCTGGTTGTAGAAGGCCCAGCCTGGTGCTTCAGAGGAGCTCTTTCATGGAATTCCCATTGTTTCCCCCAGTGGGCTTAGTCTTCTACTGTGACTCCACTGAGCTAAGCCTGGAGATGCAGAGTTTTGCACAAGAGCCTACCAAGCCCAAGCACATAATCTCGGCATTAGAAGACTCTGCAGCTGCCGGTTGTGTCTTGCAGTGCAGAAATAGAAGGTTTGGGCTTGAATTAAGCTGAAGTCCAGAGCTGTGCTTTCTACTGCAGTAGCCACGAGCCACAGGTGGCCACTTAAATGTAAACTTTAATTATTGAACATTAAATAAAATGTAATATTCAGTTTCCTGGTCATACTACCCACATTTCAAGTTCTCAAGAGCCTCATGTGGCTGGTGGCTACCATATTGGTGAGCACAGACCTAGACTATTTCCATCATCACAGAAAGTTCTATGGGGCAGCACTGGTCTAGAGCTATTGGTTTTTCCAAACCTTTCAATACACATGCTTTCTCCCCCTTTTTACTGAGTGTAATTTTCTAAGATAAATATTGAGAATACATCAACTCCATAACACGAGAAAACATGATTTTATTTACTTAATGTCTGTGAGAGATAATAAAAAGTATGTGTCTATTTTTAAAAGGAAGGAAAATAATGTGGGCGTAAATCACCCGGGGATCTCATTAAACTGTGGATTCTGGTTTCCTGTGTCCGAGATGGGACCTGACCTTCCCTTGCAGGTCCATAGACCACTCCTCAAGGGGGAGATGACAACATGTGACTTACGAACTAGGACCCTATGGCTGCTGGAAGGGTCAGGGGAATAAATACCATAAGTGAACTGTACATGGAAAGATAGAAGCAGAAGGAAATATTTGCATCTTCCAGCACCAAAAGAATGAGACCGCGCCTCCACCCACCCCCGGCTTTGGTCTGAGGAGGGTCATGTGGAGGTGACACAGCACAGCAGAGTTAAGAGCTGTACTCTGTCTGGACTTGAGTCTGGACTCCTTCCTAGTGTGTCCTTGGGCAAATGGTCACTAGGCCTCAATTTCCCTATCTGTCGAGTGGAGATAATGCTAGTACCTGTTTCACAGAGTAGTTGTGAGGACTCAGTGATGTAAAATGCTTGAAACAATGCCTAGAACATCAGAAACACCACCCAGGTGGTTATTAAATCAATAAATGAATGCAACATGCTGCTTCTAAACAACTGAACAGGTTTTTATCCTGGGTGAGTTGATTCATTTCTGACCAGTTGGTATGTCACTTGGATCTAAACAGGATTCTGTTTCTCCCCTGTGGATGGAGAAAGGAGTGGGAGGTGGGAACAGGGTCTCTGATGAAAGGTTGGATTCACAAGGCATCCTCAGTTATTAAGGAAAAAAAAGCGAAAATTGATGTTGTCAAGAGTTGGGCCTGTAACTGACAGGAACGGTCCAGGGAAGCCCAATCAATGGCATCGTTGTAATTCCTGTAGACAGAAGCCACTTGGCACACATCTGGTGACCCTAACCTAAATGCTGTCCTTAAAGAGACTTGTTACTGTTGGCTGACGTTAGTGTACAGAACTCTGCATTGAGAGTTTGCACAGGTTTTACAGAATCTATCACTTAAATTTGTGACATTTCCCATTGGCGTGTAGGAGCAAAATAGATGTGAGTTGCTGGAGAGACTATGTCACTGGTTTTTGCCTGGTATTAATCATTGTTTAAACCTTTGTTCCCCACAAAAGCAAAGAGCCCAGCCAGCAGCGAGTCAAGAGATGGGGCTTCTCTTTCGATGAGATGTTGAAAGATCCGATGGGGAGAGACCAGTTTCTACGATTCCTGGAGTCTGAATTCAGTTCAGAAAACCTCAGGTAAATCTCTCAAAGGTTTGAATTGTGTGCAGCGTGTGTATGAAGAAATTTGCATCATCAGTCTCTCTTTTTGCCTCCCTTTCTCAGTAAAATAGTACGGTTCAAGCGCAAAGTATAGCTAATCTGGCGAAGGTGGAAGTGGAGAAGAACAAACTTTATATGCAGCTTTGCTGTTACCACATTAACACCTACCAACACCAGCATTCATTTAAGTCCAGATGACATTTGTTCAAGTTATTGGAAACATCTCCAATAACAAGCAAATAGTCAAATGGATTTGATGACACCTTCCATTAACTAAAACCATGGCTTCGTGGAGCTCCCGCATGAAAAGCAGCTCAGAGACCCTCTCTTCAGAACTTCCCAAGTCTGGGGTCCTGAATACTTGACAGGGCGACCAGAAGGGATTCATAGCCTCATTTCAGAATTTCAAAAAGCAAGAGTAAATACCATTCAATAACTGCAGACCTAACTGCAAAAGCTAATTCATTAAAACATGCTTTCCTTTTAGTGGGGGGCGGGATTTTATCAACTCTAGTGGGGGTTTCTCTGGTCACCTGATGCCAGTGCGACATCTGATTGTTTCTATTGGTCTGACTCATTAAGACGAGGTAAAATGTATTCATATATTAATAATTACTGTTTAGTAGAAGAAAAAATAAAACTTTCAAAACATGAAGTCCATTGAAAAAGGATGGAAAGAGAGTACATTAAAAAGGGAAGGGTCCGTGGTCATGAAAAATTGGGAACTTGTGGTTTATTCAGGCTTTTTTTTTTGGTAAACAGATGTAAAAGCAGAGACCTATGGAGAATGTAACTTATCTAAGACCTGTTAGTAATCTTAGGCAACCTGTGGCTTCTCAGTGGGTAAAACGGAAATCTCAGTGTTTTCTTGGTAACAGGTTTTCTTTTATATGCAGATTAATTCCCATCTTCCAATATCATTTTTTCTAAAAGTGGCTTTATTAACTTTTTAAAACTGGTTTTTAACAAGCCAGAGCATACACTGTGGGCAAAGGACTGCCCACTCCAGTGTTAATGTGCAAAAGTCCATGTTATTTATTTGGAATGAGAGACCATATCAGTTCCATGTATCAATCAAGTGATGTTTATTACACACCTATGCCATCTCAAGCCCCACGAGAGGCTGCTGAGGGAGGCAAGAAAGTCAAGATGCTTGATCTTCGCCTGCAACGACCTTATAGGTCCTTGAGGAAAAAACACAAACGACTCTTACATCATTAAATGAATATAAATGAGTATAAAATCTAAGAACCATTTTGGAAGTGTTTCGAAAAGGAAGGGATGAATGTAAGCCAGAGCAGGCAAATGATAAGCTGGACTTTGAAGAATACACAAGTTACTGATACACAAAAACGAAGGAGCGAGTGTTCTGAGCTGGAAGACCCTATTCACAAAGGCGTGGCAGTGACTATGGTCTGAATATGAGTCCCACACCATAAAGTCCCAGGAGGACGTGTAGATGCCAGTTAACTGTATGTATCGATGCCTTTCCAGGAGGCTGTATGCCTGCTGTAAACCAGATAAGGTGGAATATCTGATTTCAGGTTATGACAAGAGTTTCTTACGCTGAGGCATTATGCTAAATACACCTCAGAGCTTCATTTCAATTCCTAACCAGGTATTTCTAACCAAAGGCTTGACTTTGAAACTCTTCATTAGGGTGGTATTCAGACCAGCCTTGCACAGTGTGCCTGGACGTGGGTCCTGCTTGGAAAGCCATGCCCTCTGTGGCCAGCACGATGCATCCAGGCAGCCTGTCTGTGTGGCCAGTTCAGCCCTAGGTCCCACCCCTGCTTGGTCCCCATCAGCCTCCCCTGGGAGTCCTTTCCATCTCGCCTTCTCATCCCTGTCTCCCCTGGGTCCCCACGATGGAGTGTTACAGGGGCCACCTTCACCTGAGTATTTCTCAGCCCGTGAGGGACCTTATGGCCCTCTGTCACCTGCATCGTTACAGAGACTTTGAAGAATGGCCACAGGGTTCCGGTCATTGTGAGGGGCCTGGGAGCAGCAGCGTCTTTGGGCTTGGCACTGCTTGGCCCAGCCTGAGTGTAGCCACAGCCACATAATGGTTCAGACTAGTTTCACAAAATACACATTATGCGTAAGGGCTGGAGTGCATGGAGGAGCGTGTCCCTGGCAGGCGTTCAGCACCTCCTCTGGTGCCCCTGGCAGGACCCTCCTCCCTTGCCAGGGGGACAACATTCAATCTTGGGTGAAGAAGTGTGTGTGAGCATGTGTGAGTGTGCTGGTGCCTAATCTACACATGGATGCATGAATCCAGGCTTAAAGAGGAATCCTTCTGATCCATGACGGCAGTGAGGAAAAAGAAAATAGAACAGACGGAGATTTAAAACAGTATTGCCCAAGAGCTTCTAAAATCCTCTCTGGAGGTCCAAATTCCACTTTTATGATATTCAGCATAATTGGATACATGGGGACGAAGCTCAATTTTAAATCACACACCTTCAGTCACTCATAACCAGGTGGTTTCTCCCCTTTCCCTTTGTATTCGTTCCTTCAGCCAAAGATATTGGCTCAGCACCTACCATGACCCCGGTCCCGGAGACTCAGAGTGGAATATGTTTTACCCCTTGTCCAGGTGCGGCCCTGCAGGGGTACCTCCACCGTGGTCCAAGTGACGGCTCCTGAAGCTATGCAGTGTGGCACAACCCAGGGGCCCTGCCCATCTGTTGTGTTGGCCATGCTGGGGTCGTCCCTTTTCCCCAGGATTGGTCAAGAGCCCCAGCAACTGGCACTGGAGCATAGGGGGAAAAGTGAGAGACTGACCAGGCCTCAACTGGATACATTGCAAAGGGCCCCTGCACGTCCGTCTTCCTGTGCTCCATTGCATCTCTCCAATGAAAGGGGTACTATGATCATAACATTTTTGTACAGTATCTGGAGCACCGGTTATGTAGCCAGGTGGTTGCATTTATGTCAGAGCTTCAGAATGCAGAACACAGGAGCTCCAAAGAGACATAGGTGTTGCTGTCACCACAGCAAAGGGTCACCCTGGATCCTTTAAGGAAAGATGCCTATGATAATACCATGTGCGTTGAAGTCCTCTTTGTTCGTTTTTCTTTCCTTTTCGGTGAGCCTGTGAGATGACGGAGGCATCATCTCCAGGGCCTGGAGGGGGCATGGCCTGCACACATTGCTGCAGACCGTGTAGCATGTGATAGCACTCTCTCTGCAGCACCCTGAGCTGAGCCCAGGGTCTGTTTGGACTGGGTGGGCCAGGGAGACAGCTGTTTGCCTTTGGAATACATGTGGCCTCTCCTCCATAAGGTGGGTGCCGCCTAGTTCTGAAGCAGGGAGTTCCGATGAGTTATCTGACGTTGCCCTTCTCCCTTCTCTGAACGTTTTTCCAGAATGATGACAGGAGCCCCTTGCCACCTTTGCCCCCTCTCCATCTCCCCTGCACACATCTTTGTCCTCCGTGGCTTGACACCCTCTGCCACACAGCAGGGCATGAGTTAAAAATCAAAACCCACAGCAAAGAGCGTGTCCCGTACATTTTTTATGAGCTGCACCGTCTCCAGAGAGGATGGGGTTGTTCTTCTAACCTGCAGATTGATTATCCTGGTTCCACACAATGTCAGCTGAGGGGAGAAGCAATTAAAGAGAGCACAGGGGAGTTGACAGATTTGCCTCGAGAGCCCCCATCTCCGACAGTTGCCCCAAGTCCTAGAAAGACCTCGAAGGGTTCACCAGGCCTGGTGGGATTCACCACTAACCAAACACATGATTAATCGAGACGGAAGTGACTCACACAATGCCGTGACAATCTGTGGCATTTCAGCCACTGCCCAATGAACGTAATTCAACTTCCGTGGTATACTGCTGATGGCGTTATTAATGTCAGCCCCAGATGGTTTCAGCCCAACCAGAGCCTAAGTCAAGTTGGATGCCTTGTTTCTGAGTCTCTGTTGACCAGCAGAGGGCACAGAAACCCTTCCTTCTGCATGGAGTTTGCTTTTCTCTGCAGACGAACTAAAAACTGGATTTTTCTAACCTATGAAAATCCTACTTTATGAAAAGCTGTGTAAGCTAGGAATTGAGGAGCTGCCCAGACCTCCTGGCAGAGCGGAGAATGACCAATCACTGCATGGGTTCCCTTGTTCCAGCCAGCTGTAAGGAGAAAAGCCCATTTCCTGTCAGCATCCAGGAGGCCACCTGGGGCAGCCCCGGACCACCCACGAGTCCCATCCACTGCTGCTCCACCAGCCTGGTGGTGTCTGAGTCCAGGCTGTCTCCCCCTAAGGCTGGTGTCTGGCCTGCATTCCTAAGCCAGGGACACAGATCACATACCGAAACACGGCCAGGCAGGACAGGTGGTCTCCCTGATACCAATGAGTCCTTGTGGCCTGCCAGTCATGACAGCCCTTCTGCTGCAAGCCACAGAGGCTTAGTGCAGGATGGGTGGGTTTGGTGCTGCTGCTGACATCCTCCTCCCTGCTGGCATCCTAAAGGAAGAACAGTACCTGCTGGCTTTTGATAAGAATAGAAGCTATACAAGCCTCAGTGGGCCTCCCAGCATTAGTAAATGTGCTGAGGGAAGCTTCTGGGGCTCTTGCAGGGAGAATGTGGCCGGGCAGCCAGGGCTCAGAGCTCCGGCTCAGGCCTGTGGGCTCACAGATGGCAAACACAAACCAAAGCCTGTTCTGAATCTCAAATTGACACAAAGGTTCTTCAAAGCCGGTGATGGTAAACACAGATGGGATGTCAGGATGCTGTTGTGACAGCACTTTTGCTGTCACCTGAGAGGGCTAAGGCAGGTCGTCTCCAAGGCAGACAGAAGGGCGAGAGGGTCTCCATGTGTGCAGGAAGCGAAAACTACCCTCTAGGGAATGTCATCCTTCCCCCCGCCCCCTCCTCCTCTGGCGTTGTTTCTTGTATTTGTTTTTCATTCTTATTTTTATCTGATGAAGGGAATCTTTTAATTTTTAATGCAAAAGTTTATTAAATTTGATCCTGAAATTTCCATTTACATCAGCTCCAGACCTTCTCTAGACCCTGCTGAGTGATGTGCATTAATGTGGCTCCTAAGTCATTCTGCAAAAGGGACCCTGAGGCCTCAGGAACCGCTGGGAACCTGCATAGCTTGGAAGCTACTGGGTCTTCAGGGCCTTACCAAAGGGGCTCAGTGGCTCCTCCTCAGAGCAGACCAGAGCAAGGAGCAGAAGGTGACAGAGGGGAGACACTGATTGAGGGGGGCAGGAAAATCACCAAGGTGTCTTCCATTTATGTGACAGACGGCAGGGTCTGGTAGGCTTGGAAGGACCCTGGCCCAGAGAAGTTGCTTCCGGCCAGGAACTCGGCCCAGAGGCGACTCCCTGAGGGAGGGCTGTTCTCCCATCTTCCCAGCATGTGACTGCAGAGGACTTACTTAGTCTTTGGTGAGTTGCCCATTCTCACTCCTTCCAGTCCTTTGAAAAAATCAACACCAGCTGCCTCTTGAGAGCTGGCTTCCTAAATTCCACCTGCCTGTCAAACACTGCCCTTCCGGTGAAGAAAGCCTGTAGTGTCATCACCGGGTGACCATTTTCACCTTTACACATTCAGCCACCTCCTTCATTTCATGGCAGACTCAGCGGGTGGGACAGAGAGACCTGAGGGACCTAGGGAATGGGCCTGAAGGATGGAGGAGACCCGCTCCCCAGCTGAGTTTCAAGGGCCTGCCTGCACAGCTGAGCAGCTTTTTTGGATCGTTTCAACCTCACACCCTCATCCCTCTGGACCCTGCTTAAAGAACCATTACTGTTTTCCTCTCCCCCGGCATCCAGAGGACACGCGCACCGAAGACCCGCAGCAGAAAGAGAGAGGGCTGGTTTCAAAGGGCAGGTGACCACAAATGGCAGTGGCAGGAGCACCAGGCAGTGTTTGCTCAGGCCACCTGAGAAGAAAGAGATGAAATTCAAGGGATCGTACTGTCCCAGTGTTGAACCTGTGACCACCACGCTGACCCCTCCACAGCACCCATCACGGGATCTGAAAGCATTTCAGACTTACACCCGGATGGGAAGTCCTTCACATGTGTGTCACATATCCCTCCACCCACTTTGTACCCGTTTTACAGATGAGGAGAGAGACGCCAAGAAAGGAACAATTCCAAGACAGCAGCATAGCCAGGGTGAGGACAGAACTGTGCTTCCTGACCTTTCGGTTGAGTGAATCATTAAGTCTCCTTGCCTGCCTTTCACTCATGCCCTTCAGGATCACCAAGAGAACCAGGAGGGTTTTTTTAAGGAGATTATTAGAACCCCAAACGGCAAATCAGGGGAAGAGTCGGAGCCCACGATGCACACCCACACACCAGTCTTCAGTCCTCATGGAAATGGACCTGCATTACCTCGGTTGGCCACTGAGTGGTGCCTTTGAGCCATGCACTTGGCTCTGAAGACATTTCTCTGAACAGCAACAGAAAAACATACTTAACCTTTCAAAAAACAAGAAGTACATCTTACTTTGGGTGAAATTCAATGATGGATTGAATGCACTTTCCACCATGTTGTTTTTCAGCTTCTCTTGTCCCTGCCCTTTTGTGACTTGACTGTGGGATTCCCATGACTATCACACATAGTCAGGGCCCTGTCCTCACATCTCATTGATGGGAAAACTGGCCTGTCTTGTTCACAGGGCACAGGGTGCCACCCACACCTGGGCCCTGCTGAAAGCCTGCCCCAGGGCTGCCTTGGAAACCATCCTCAGGACCTGGGACCTATTGTCCAAGCTTTGGCTCCGGTTGCTGCTATTCTCAGCAGAAAAAAGCTCACACCCAGCTCTCCCCACAGCTGCTGCCATGCTGACACTGAGGGATTCATGAGAGGCAAATATGGAGTGAGCAGGAGGTTTTTTCTCCAGTGCTCCCTGGAGAATCTTTTGACAGAGGTTCCCCGTGTATGCCCCTTCAGTTGTGTTCCAGATGAGCTCATCTTCAGTCCGCAGACATTTATTGAGCGCCTATTATATGCAAGCAACGTGCCGGACACTGATGTTGCAAATCGACTTAGTTTCCCCATCTGTAACATAAATAGCTGGGTCCTTCCAGCTCAAATACTCTTTGCGATGCCAAGATTCTATCTGCTTCTGTTATCTCTCCTTCGTTTTTGATGCCTCTAACTGATCCCAATCAGATATGACAAAGAAATTCACCTTTGTCTGTGTCATGATAATCTATGTAGAGCAGTGGTTCTCAACCAGGGGACATTTTACCTCCCAGGGGACATTTGGTAATGTCTGGGAACCTTTTTGGTTGTCACAACTTGGGGAGCAGTTGCCACTGGCATCTGGTAGTTGGAGGCCAAGGTTGCTGCTAAACAGTCTACAATGCACAGGGCAGGCCCCACAACAAAGAACTATCCAGCCCAAAATGGCAATAGTGCTGTGGTTGAAAAATCTTGACATAGAGGGAGAGCTATCTCTTCTTGGTAACCAGAAGCGCAGTGATCTTCTAATGGGCACTAAACTTTTCAGTTCCCCACAACAGTGGAGCACCCTTTGTGTTTTCAGCCGTCCACCCGGGTAGTAGCTGTAGGGAAGGCTGGAAGATGCGGCAGCCTGAGTTCCATGGGATGTCAGTTCTGGGACCATGTCTAGCAGAGTCCAGACGCTAAGCCCCCTGGAACTGACGGTCTTCATACTTCCACTTCAGGTTCTGGTTGGCTGTCCAAGATCTCAAGAAACAACCCTTACAGGATGTGGCCAAGAGGGTGGAAGAAATCTGGCAAGAGTTTCTGGCTCCAGGAGCCCCAAGTGCAATCAACCTGGATTCCCATAGCTATGAAATAACCAGTCAAAACGTCAAAGATGGAGGGAGATACACATTCGAAGATGCCCAGGTTTGCTTTACTATTTGAATGGCTCTATCAAAAAGTATTCATTTGCCCACTCCACCTCCCCAACCTTTAACATGAGTCCAAGGCATTGTGTATAGTTAGAATTTCAGGTTTGATTATTTATAAGGCCATCCATGGAAACCATTCCAGGTAAGTACACAGCGAAATTCCAGAAGGATTGTTTCCCTAGATTAGTTACATTTCTACATAGAAATAGAAATTTACAGTTATGTGTGTTATCTTTACCAGGAAATTTTCAAAGTGTTTTACTAAATCCGAAGTCCCATAAGTTAGTAGTAGAATCTGGAAACCATAACACATCAGCAAAGTGGGTCTAGCTGGTAGGGCCATGACTCAAGTCCACATCTAAGCATTAAACCCACACTCATAACCACCTCCCTACACTGCAGCCATAATACGTTCCAAATATAGTAGTCCTCCCTTATCTGCAGGGGATAGGTCCCAAGACTCCCAGTGGATGCCTGAAACCACGGATAGTAATGAACTCTCTATGTATTGTGTGTTTTCCCATACAGGCATACCTGTGATAAAGTCCAATTTATAAATTAGACACAGTAAGAGACTAACAACAACAATACTAAAATAGAACACTTATAACTATATACTATCATAAAAGTTATGTCAGTGTGTGCTGACACTCTCTTCTCTCCAGTACTTTCTATAGTTTTCAGGCCAACCCTATCCCTGAATCTGTTTTACCACCCCTTACTTGCAGTAAATGGCTTGGGGTCACTCATTTCTGGAAATCCCCTTGCTGAAGTCTTCCTATAGGCTCAACATGTTGCCGCCAATCGAAACACGTTTTCTGTTCATCTCCCATCCACAAATTTAATGTCCTTTCCATCTTAACTAAGCACTCATCACACAGTGTGGCTGTAATTATTGCAGCACGAGGTACAACAGCAAAACTAGCACACCTTTCTTCTTCCTTCTTCACAATTTCACAATAGAAGATTCATTCTCACCACAGCTCTTAGCAATCTCAGCATAACAATTTTTTTTCTTTCCTTATTCAGTTGAGAGCTTTCACCTTTTCCCTTAAAGGAAGCACTTTCTGGCTTCTCTTCGGCATATCTGAATTGCCAGCATCACTACTCTTGCGCTTTGGGGCCATTAGTAGGTAAAATAAGGGTTACCTGAACACAAGCACTGTGATACCGGAACAGTTGATCTGATAACCGAGAAGGCTATAACTAACAGGCGGGAACTGTATATAGTGTGGACACGCTGGGCAAAGGGGTGAGTCACGTCCTGGGTGGGACGGAGCAGGAAGGCTCCAGAGTTCATCACGCTACACGGAACGGTGCACGATTTAAAACTTACGAATTATTTGTGTCAGGAATTTCCTATATAATATTTTGGACCACGGTTGACCGTGGGTAACTGAAACTGTGGAAAGTGACACCATAGATAAGAGGGGACTACTGTATGAGGTTACTATTTGGGGAGCACCTCCATATTCCAGGCCCTGTGCTATGTGATAACATACCACAAAGAACGACCAAAGCCCCTGCTCTCAAAGAGGTTACAGGTTAGTGAGGGAGAATGACAAGAAAATGGGCAGTTTCTCCAATGGACGAAGTGCCTCAAAGGGGTGAGCTCTAGGGTTTAAGGACGCCCACAGGAGGGACTCCTAACCCGGTAAGGCACAACTAAGGCACAGATGCTAGTGAGGCTGGTGAGAGAAACAGAGGCCACATCAGCTACCCTGAACTGCAAGCTTTATGCTGAGGGCTGGGCGGTACCATTTCTAAAGATAAGCATCACGTCCATCCGTTTCTTAACTTCCTGGACCCTAACTTTTATTTCCTCTCGTTATCCTATACCCGGTGACAGGGCTTAAGGTTTTGCTCTTATCTCAACTCTTCATTTCTCTCACCTCAGGGGTCCTGTAAAGAATCTGAGTGGTTTGTGCTCTCACAGATACCACCGTAGTCCCCCCCTTATCTGTGGTGTCACTTTCCACAGTTTCAGTTACCCACGGTCAACCGTGGTCCAAAATATTATATAGGAAATTCCTGACATAAATAATTCGTAAGTTTTAAATCGTGCACCGTTCTGTGTAGCGTGATGAACTCTGGAGCCTTCCTGCTCCGTCCCATCCAGGACGTGACTCACCCCTTTGCCCAGCGTGTCCACACTATATACGGTTCCCGCCTGTTAGTTACGTAGTAGCCTTCTCGGTTATCAGATCAACTGTTCCGGTATCACAGTGCTTGTGTTCAGGTAACCCTTATTTTACTTACTAATGGCCCCAAAGCTCAAGAGTAGTGATGCTGGCAATTCAGATATGCCGAAGAGAAGCCAGAAAGTGCTTCCTTTAAGGGAAAAGGTGAAAGCTCTCAACTGAATAAGGAAAGAAAAAAAATTGTTATGCTGAGATTGCTAAGAGCTGTGGTGAGAATGAATCTTCTATTGTGAAATTGTGAAGAAGGAAGAAGAAAGGTGTGCTAGTTTTGCTGTTGTACCTCATGCTGCAATAATTACAGCCACACTGTGTGATGAGTGCTTAGTTAAGACGGAAAGGACATTAAATTTGTGGATGGAAGACATGAACAGAAAACGTGTTTCGATTGGCGGCAACATGTTGAGCCTATAGGAAGACTTCAGCAAGGGGATCTCCAGAAATGAGTGACCCCAAGCCATTTACTGCAAGTAAGGGGTGGTAAAACAGATTCAGGGATAGGGTTGGCCTGAAAACTATAAAAATTACATGGAAAGGTGCATCTGCAGATGAAGGAACTGCTGTCACATTTCCAGCACAGTTGCAGAAGTCATTTAGATTTTGGTACTACCCAAGGTTTCAGGCATCCACTCGGGGTCTTGGAATGTATCCCCATGGATAAGGGGGTATTATTGTATTATCTGATTTAGGAAACTCAGAGGCACCGATGCAAATGATGGCATTAGAACATAACCAGTGTCCCTGGTCATCCAGATTTGCCTTGTCATTTGCTCAGAGCTTTAAGATGGAAACACCTACTAACCTTAACACTGTAACTATCTTTTCCTTCACCCTGGTCATGAACTCCACCAAATGCCTGTACCAGGCAGATTTTGTTCAATGGAGTTCAGTGTCTTTGCATGAAATCATCAGTCCCTCACATTCTTTGCAACTTCAAAGAAAAATAAGTCCTGAGAAATCTTCTTTGTTTTTCCCTAATAGATTTTTGTGTGTATATGTGTCTATGCTCCCAAGTCCATATTGACGTATCCTGGTGACGAGAGGGATGGAGAGGCTCCATGGGTGACAGAGAAGCTCCCTAGATGAGTGATCTAAAGCCCAAAGCTCCCCTCTCCATTATTTCTGAAACATAAGAAATGGGATACTGGTCAGAACTATGATGCACTAAGCCTGGCATTAGCTCTCTGAGCATAACATCAGAAAGCATTTGTTTTAATGTTTTGTTATGAAACTTGTAAACATGGTGGAAAGTGGAAAGAGCAGAACAACAAATCTTTATGGACCCTCTTCCAGCCTCAGCAAATCATCAATACAAGACTGACCTCGTTTTATCTGTGTCCCCACTTTTTTGCTTACCACTGGGTTATTCTGAAGGAGATATATATATATATATATATACACACATATATATATATATATATATATATATCTCAAGACATATCATTTCATCTGTAAATACTTAGGTATGCATCTCTAAAAGAAACTGACCCTTCAGTTTTAACATCACCACTATGCCATTATCACACCTTAACAAAGTAACAATAATCTCTTAATATCATCAAATGTCAGGCAAGTTCCATAAGTGCCTTTCTTTTTAACCCTTATTTTAAAATCAGAATCCAAATAAGGGCTACACATTCCGGTAGACCGACATATCTTTTAAGTGCCTTTTAACCTACAGGTTTCTTTTATATCCCCCTCCTCTCCCTGCCCCCTTGCAATTTATTTGAAGAAGAAATTGGATTCTTTGCCCTGTAGAGATTCCACAGTCTGAATTTTTCTGATTGCATCTCTGTGGTGCTTTTTTAACATGTTCCTCTATCGCCTGTATTTCCTATAAATTGGTAATTTGATTTAGGTATTTGATCAGATTTATGTTTGATTCTTGTGGGTAACACTACTTCATAGATTTCATCGTGTCAGAAAGTCTTTTCTCTAGTCATCTCTCTTTTTTTTTTGGTATTGGCAGCCACTGGTGTTTCTTGCTTTTATATCCATTAGTTAATTAGGGGTTATAAAATGGTGATGTTCTAGTTTTATTTTATTCATTTATTTATTTTTAACCTGAGCCATCCTGCCACCTGTTGGCAGCTCAGCAGCTGCTCAGCTCGGGCCGGGCATCAAACCGCTGTTGCTCAGAGCTCAAACTCTTGAGCGAGCTCTTAACCAACTGAGCCACTCGGCCAGCCCCAAAATGGTGATGTTCTAATCCTATCATTCTTTCCTCATCTGTTAGCTGAAATACAAATACTTGCATACCTCTACTATTTGATTATCTAATAATATATTTCTTATAGGAAAAATAGGATGAATGTTTGATTCTTTCTCTTTATTTGCCAGTTTTCAACATAATGAGTGGGTTACTATTATCATCCAATGGTGGCCAGTTAGGATTGCTTCGTTGTGTTTTTAGTATCTTTGTAAGTTCATGGGTTTAAATGTTTTTGATATATTTTAACCATTTTGTTTATTATTTTTATTGATGCTTGGATTGTGCCATTTCTGGCCAGTTAGCTCCTCCTGATATGACTCTAGTAGTCTGATGTCATCTAAATAGCAAGGAAGCAAAGATGTTCTAGGCCCCACCCCAGACCTGAAATCAGCCACTTCTCCAAGGATTCCTGGTTTCTCTTAGAGGGAAGTGGTTTTTAGATCCCATAATCTGGGCACTTAGGGGTGCTCATTGTTCCTGGGTTGGTAATCGGTTCTCGGCCTTTTTAGTGGACAGAGCTAGAAAACAGGTGGTTGTTGTTTGTGATAAAAATACATCATGAGTTCATACTGATACTTTCTATTC